AGAGCGCAAAAATCTTAACAAAATGAGGGGTGTCCGAACTTTCTACGACCTTTCCTCACAAAGTTACAAGCATTACAAAAAACGCAAAAAAAACGATTTTTCGTCGATTTTAGCAGTTTTTTCGCTAATTTTCGGTTTTTTGCGTTTTTTGTAATGCTTGTAACTTTGTGAGGAAAGGTCGTAGAAAGTTCGGGCACCCCTCATTTTGTTCAGATTTTTGCGCTCTTCAAGATGGCACTATCAAAAAATATATCCCACAAGGCCTTCGAGGACCTAAAAACTACCGTGTTCAGTTTCCTGGAAAATTTATCCCCAAAGCCTATTCGTGAAAACCTCGTATATGGTGCCCCTAATAGAAAACTCCATTGGCTATTCAAATCAGTAATTGGATTTTGGTTAGATACTTAGCGTTATAAAAAAAAATCAAAAATATGTTGTTCTTATATTTTTGACCAGTACTGTAGATCAATTTTTTGTGGTCGAAAATTCTATGCATAGGAAACTCTCCAAAACCATTGTTCTTGATTGACTGATTCTGTTATGTAAAACAAATCTGACCATATAACAAAAATATGAATCTAATTTTAGCATATACATATTGATTATACAAATTATATTCAAGAAAAAATATCTCTAAGAATGAACATGTGTTTAGAAAAAAATACAATAGAATTGAAAATGACAAAAATAAAACGAAACATATTTAAAAGTCAATTGAAATTACTGAGTTTTATTTGATATTTTTTCAAACATAAATATTTGAAAAATTTTAATTTTTTTATTCTCATTATACATGTAATTAAATATTAAATTGAGATCATTTTTAAATAATGAACCACTAATTTGATTTTTCGGCATTCATCTATACAAGAATACAAAAATATTACTAGAATTGAATATAAGTTTCTTGTTTAAATTTTAACAAAATTTCTCACATTTGATAATAAGAAGAAATTAATAGAAATTCTATTTAAATATTTTCGATTGTTTCCTTTTTGCATATTCAATACATAAATAAACTCAATTTTTCAAAGTTTCTCAAATGAGATTGAATCAAAATTTATTGTGTGAGAACATTATTTATAGAAATCAGCATGTAATCGAAAGTACCACACAGCAAAGTAGTCGATTATGAAACTGAAAAATTGAATCAAGAGCATAGAAGAAATTTTTGTGGTATGGCAAGTCTATTTCAGAATCAAGTTTTTTCTCTATTCAATTAATCAATATCATAAACAGACATTTCTAATTTTATTTGATTTCGTAAGAATAAATCCTCACAATTAAAAATATTCTCTTAATAAACCAAGTGATTTTTTTCTGTTTTTATTTAAATTATATTTTCAATAGAATCTATCTATTTTCAGTTCAAAAAAATTATAGCCGTGATCATTTTTGCAATAACTCAAGAAGGGAAAGAGCTAGAGAGCTGCACTTTTCGCCAGTCGAAAGAGGCGACACTAGGACATTTTTTTTCTCCAATATTGTATAAGACGAAATTATTTTAAAATCAAACGTTTTTACAAAACATCAAAAAAAGGAACAAAAATTATCTGTCGTTCATATGAAATTTTGACAAAAAGTAAGAAAATTTGCTTAAAAATGAAGAGAAATTCATACTTTTCGAGGGAGTAAATAAAGAATTTGATTTCATTAAACGTTATAATGCGTAAAGATCATCATTCAGATTATATCTTAAACTATAGATCAAAGGTCTTTCTATCTAAACCATATATCAAAACCAAAATTTTATCGTAACGACAGACTGTTTTTCATGCATTTTTTGTAATGTTTTGCAGAAATGACTGATTTCGTCTTATACAATATTGGAGAAAAAGATACTCTAGTGTCGCCTCTTTCGACTGGCGAAAACTGCAGTTCTCTAGCTCTTTCCCTTCTTGAGTTATTGCAAAAATGACCACGGCCATTATTTTTTTAAACAGACAATAGATTAGAAGTGCTAAGTATGATCAAATTAATTTCTTCTTCTTTTTTTTTTTTTTTTATAAACGAAGAGCTTATAAAAACATTGTCTCATTTCTGCATACAGGTTGAGAACAAATTGTTTCTCTCTCTCTCTCTACGTGATTTAGTAATTCAAAACCATGTCGTCTAAACTATTAATATAGCAGTTATGATTAGTCCTACGAGTAAAGATTGTTGAATCGAAAATTTTCGAACTCGAGCCCAGTTAAAAGAAAAACTTCACGTCCTGACTCAATCGTACCGGAGTCGGGGATCAACCCAACGAGCGTCTACCTATGGGACAACATTGTTTTTGAGTCTAAAATCTCGTTTTATTTCAAAATGTTCTGATCTCAAATATCTTGTGGTGGAAATTTTTGAAACAATCTCGAATGATATTGTGTTCCTACAGAAAAAATATCATTTCATTTTCATATGGTGTCTCCCTCTGTCAATAAAATACCTGTGAAGTCATACAATTGGTGAATAGTTTTTGAAGGAGGCGTTGTAATATTTTATTTTATTTCTACTCCATAGTTGAATATGAAAAATTGATTTTAGATTTATTTTCAAAGAATCAATCGTAAGCCAAACGAATGTATCTGTCAGACGAAGTTATTTATGTTTGTTTATTACTTATATCAATACCAATTGGATTTATTTTCAAAAATTCTCGTCATATTAATTTAAAAGCATACTCTTCAACATTGATTGGCTTTATTTTTGCTTTAATAGTTTGTCGTTGGGATGTTTTACATTCGTTAATAACAACGTCTGTAACATGTCTTATTTTAGCCGGTGTTACCGCACGGTAGAAAAGTGTTTTTTATTTCGAAGTTCATAATCTTTCATTTTTTTTTTCTATTTATATAGATATGTTCATATAGCAACATTTATATGGTGTTTTTCATATTTATTATTTTTTCGTACAACGAATCTTTTTTCAATTCAATTACCTGTTGCACATAGTAATGCTATTCAGTTAATGTTAACACTCAAAGTAAATAATTAAAGAATAGATTTTCGTTCGATGTTATTTAACATGGTTTTTTTTTCTTCTTATTTTAATAGCTTGTTAGTGTTGCTTTTGAATGGCATGATTCATATTTACGTTTGAAAACTATTCGTACGCAAACAAATGCAGATGAAAGTGAAAAATTACATTTACAAGATATGTATTTATCTGTTAAACCATCAACTTTACGAATATTTCAATATGCTTATTGTTATATTGGTCTTCTGACTGGTAATTTTCAATATAAGATTTTTAGAATTCAAATATATATATATATATACGTGTATGTTGTTTGTTTAGGTCCATATTATCGTTATAGAACATATCATGATTGGCTTGAAATGAAACATGGAGTACATATACATGGTTTAACATTTATGAGAAAACGTGTTATATTTGGTTCAATCTATATATTAACTTATTTACTTTTATCGACAATGGTTTCATTCAATGTAATAATTTTTACTGAGTATTCCAGAAATAATCTATTAAAAAATAATGAACAGAATATTTCTTGATTGGATGAGTTAATTTTTAAAGCCTAAGTAGCATCACTCAAAAGTATTATCATTTAATGAAAAGAGAACAAATGACATTTTCTGACAAAGATAAACGGCTAGGTTTTAGGTATCTATAATATTATTCAATTTTTAAAATAATTAATTTACAATCTTTGAGTTTTGCAAGTCTATCTGACTTATCGAAGTATAGTTCGATGATTTCAAAAATATCAGATAGATACGAATATTTTAAAATCTATTTTTAAAAAATATTCATTAAACATTTTTTAGAGTATTTTATCATTGATCATTTCAGTAAAAAGAATTTGCGATACTTCATCAACAAATGACGATACTCTATTGTAGCATCTACTATGTACCGATGTTCCCAAAAATAGGTGATCGACTTCTCGAAATTTTAAATTATCTCACGGAAATAGACTGTATCAATAAGTTGATGATTCATGAATAAAAACTTGTAACTTTCTTCTATTATGAGAAAAGAAGCTTAACTCATTTGATTAAAATATAGAGAAAGACTTTTCATTATTGTTTTAGTAGATTATTTGCTAGACAAAATCAATAGGGAAAAAGTACTTTTGATCACCAGAAAACAATACGTTTGATCACCATTTTTTCATTTCTATTTTTATAACTTCTTATTTGATGTAAATAAACGATAAAAGTGTAAATCTGTAAGTTCTGTTTTATGTGCTTAAAGTGAGTTCGATTTATTCCGTACACACTTGACACGATGTATATCAGAAAACGCTTGGA